GTCAAACACATCAAACACATAACGATAATAGCAACGATAGTCATGACAAACCCTCATCGACGCTCCTCGGTATACTGTACATCCTGCATCGCCAGCGAGCCGTTCATCAGGGGCGGTAGCGTCCTCGCTGGGTCAACAGAGGGGTGTTGGGGTTGCTGGGCGCCGGGCGGGGAATAGGGACTCCCGTGCCCGTTGGCATACATATGATTTTGTGAGTGTGGGTGGGGGTGTGCGCCGTTGGTTTGTTGTTGGAGTGAGGGAGCACCTTGCTGCGGCGTGCCACGATCGTAGGCAGCCTGGGAGTGGTGGTGGTGGTGGCCGTTTGTAGCTGCTTGACGGTGGAGCTGCTCGTTAAGCTGTTGGCGCAGTTCGGTGACTTCAGCCTTCAAGGTGACGGCTTCGTGACGGGTTTGTTGGACTGTTTTTTCTAGTTGGCCGATGTATTCGATTGCTGGTCTACTGTCAGACACGGTATTCCTTGCATGCCTCCCTTATTTATTATTATTATTATTATTATTACTAGGGTATAATTTACCTCGAGTCAGGGTCTCCCATTTACTGGACTTGCTACTCTGGCTTGAAGGGAGGCGCGAACGTAAAAGTTCAAAGCAGTCTTTCATCTCACTTCGTCTTTTGCGCTCTGCTAGCTTGTGGGTAACGCGCAATTCTGGGGTTCTGCTATACGGGGTAGCGCCGTTCGGTGACTCTGGATCGCCCATTAAGTCTCTAACCTGTTTCTGCTGCAGGGAATGATGATGGACATTCTGCGGTAGTTCTATAAAGCAAGTATATTAACATTGAATGCGCAAAATGGATTCACACACACACTAAGGTAAAAAAGGGAGAAAAAAAAAAAAAAAAACAAACCTTGTTGGCCATGTGGCAGTCTAGAATCCGTAGTAAACACACTGCTGGCAAGAGACTCCGTGGTGCTGCCTCTCCGGTTAAACTGACTGGAGGGTTGCGCACGATTGCTTTTCCTTGTCTGATGAGCGAGCAACGTCAGGGTCCGGAAAGGCGTAAGCCTGGCCGGCCGTGGGTGATTCCGCATTGTAAATCTCGGCGTGTGGATTCTTGGAAATGGCGGGCGCGGTCCTGCGCACGGGAAAGGAACGGTGTTGACCCTGGCCGCTCGTCCTGGGGCCGAGAGGGGAGAGTGGATGGCGTTGGTCGCCGCTGTAGCGAGGGCCCCTTTGGCCAGCCAGGGTTGAATATTCACCGGAAATGCCACGATCGCGCTGCAGGCCGGAGACAATCGACGATTGAGAGGCATTCGTGCTGTGGTAGGGGGAGGCTTGGTTTATGGCTAAGGAACCAATGCCTTGGTTCATTCGACTATCAATGCTGCTGCGACGGGACTCTGAGAAATTAGCATTGGACCACTGGGCCGAGCCGCCGTCGAAATTTTGGTTGATGGAAGGTAGTAAAGCGTTTTGCTGGTGGATGGAGTAGCTTGGGGAGTGTTGTTGGGAGGTGGGCGTAGCAGAGGAGGGAGTCTGCGGCTGTGGATCGTTTGAGGGCTGCTGCTGCTGCTGCTGCTGTTGAGACTGGCGATGCTTTGGGGAGTGTTGGGAGGAGGTGATGTAAGGATACTGGGCGTAGCCATTGGTGCCATTGGTGCCATTGGTCGTGTTTGAGTATGTGGAGGAGCCTAAGAAGGTGAATGAATTAGTGTTATATATATATATATAGTGAGATAGATACATAGATACATAGATAGATGTAGAGATAGATGTAGAGATAGACAGATATTTCATAGCTAAAAAGATCAATCAAAAAAATCTAAAAACCATAAAAAAAAACAACATACGGGCGCTCTGTGGCATGGACCAATTGCCAGAGTCACGCTCGACGGTGTTCAAGGACGCCTGTGCCACAACAACAGCATTGGTAAAATTACCGAGAGACATACTGGCGGTAAGCGTCGAGATAGAAGGCAGTTTCTGAACCTGCTGATGAGCAGCGCCAGCGCCAGCAGTATGCGGCTGGGGAGTCTGCTGGGCCGGTCCTCGGTTCTCCCATGGGACGACGCGCAACGAGACGTCCATTCTCTCGGAGAGACAGACGAAGGACAGCCTACCTAGCGAAGGTTTTATGGGCGACCGGTAAGGGTTGAA